CTCTGTCCTCACTGCCCTTGGTCTTCTTGCTGGGCAGGGAACCAACCAAGAAGGCAAGACCAGGCCTGGGACACAGGCAACCTCACGCCACCAAGCAGGTGTTCATCTGCTGCCCCCTGGTGGGTGCTTAGGGCACAGGCGCCACCTTGTTGGGGCAGGGTTCTGCAGCTCAGCTGCCCCAAGGTGAGGGCACTGACTTTGAAAGGGCTGCACCTGGAATCAGAGCTTTAGTGCTGAGAATGGCCAAGTCAGCAGCCAATCATAACACATCCCTGGGTCTCAGTTTCTTAATCTGGAAAATGGGGACAGTCACGTGCCCTGAGAGTCCCTGCAGGCAGAACGGATGTGTCGGATGAATGAGCACTCAGTGGGAACCCTTGATTGCATCAATTCAACGCATATGTTGCTGTTGTTGTGAGGTGCCATCAAGTCAGTTCAGACTCGTAGCGACCCTGTGTACAACAGAATGGAACACTGCCCAGTCTGCGCCATCCTCACATCATTGTCATGCTTGAGCCCATTATCGCAGCCACTGTGTCAGTCCATCTTTTTGAGGGTCTTCCTCTCTTTCACTGACCCTCTACTTTGCTGAGCATCTTTCCTCAGGGACTGGTCCCTCCTGATAACATGTCCAAAGTATGTGAGATGAAGTTCTTGCCATCCTCACTTCCAAGGAGCATTCTGGCTGTACTTTGTTCTTTCTTCTGGCAGTCCATGATATATTCAGTATTCTTCACCAACACCATAATTCAAAGGTGTCAATTCTTCGGTCTTCTTTATTCATTGTCCAACTTTCACATACATACGAGGCGATTGAAAATACCATGGCTTGGGTCAGGCACACCTTAGTCCTCAAAGTGACATCTTTGCTTTTGAGTGCTTTAAAGAGGTCTTTTGCAGCAGATTTGCCCAATGCAATGCATCTTTTGATTTTTTTGACTGCTGCTTCCATGAGTGTTAATTGTGGATCCCAGTAAAACGAAATCCTCGGCAACTTCAGTCTTTTCTCTGTTTATCATGATGCTGCTTATTGGTCCATTTGTGAGGATTTTTGTTTTCTTTATGTTGAGGTGTAATCTATACTGATGGCTATAGTCTTTGATCTTCACCAGTAAGT